GAGCTGGCTTGGGACACCAGCTCTGAGCAGCAGGGCCCCAGTTCAGATCCCACATGGGGGCCAGTGACGCTGCACCCTCTACAGCTAAGATGCTGAACAACAGCTCATCCTGGAGCTGGGCTGCCATGAGGTGCCGGCGACGGCGTAGGCTGCAGCCCCTGCTGCAGTGGGTTGTCATGGGCTACCGTGAATGTCTAGCAGCCGCCGTGAACAGCCATCCACAAGCCAGCGACTGATCTGCCTTGCCCGGGAAGAGCGCAAGGATGGTGCCAACTTGGGCCAGTGAAGCAGCGTCCTCCACACCTAGACTGAAGAACAAAAGGATAGCAACTTGTCTGTTCCCCTTCTCCCAATTCCCCAATAAAAAATCTTTGAAAAAAAAAGACTAGCTGACGAGGTTTATTTATATGACAGCATTGTAATTTTTTATAAAAATATTGTCATTTTCTAGTACCCACAGCAACCATGATGCCTGAACACTGTCTATTCAAGAGTCCTGCATAAATTTTTAAACTATTGTTAAAATTGTAATTATATACCAATACACCACTCAGTAGTGCTAGTTTTTGCTAAAATATCAATTTATTGATTTTTTCTGTAAAGATTTATTTCTCATTGTGCTTAAAAGTTAGCTAATTTTTAGGCATGAAGACATTTATTCTCAGTGAACCACTTTTTTTTCATAAACTATAAAAAATATTGTTTTTCTGTTCAGCAGGTCAAGGGCTGGAAATTTAATTTATTCATATTTATGTGCCCAATGCCTAGAAAAATCCTTAGCAAATAACATCCATTTGATAAATGTTAGTTGAATCCAGTTATCTCAAATCCTAAATGTGCAGGAATTATATAATAAAATTTTACTACAAAAAAAGTCTCTCAGATTTTCATTTTATCTAAGATTGCAAGTTGTTTAAATACTCATCAGACTGAAAAGCTGTTAAAATTTCTATTTAGAAACCCCAGATGTATATTACAAATATATTTACAGTATCACTAAATGTCTGTTAAATAGTGTTTTATATTCAGACTTTGATGAATCAATGACTATTAAAAGTGGTAATGGCAAAGTGACAGTGATAAGAAATTGTGTCAAATTTTCAAGCATAATTATTAGCATTATTAGTCTGATAAATTCCTGGGCATTGAAATGCAACTAGAATTAGTCCCATAAAAGTAACTTGAATTAGAGGAAAACACAAGAACTATCTCCTATTTTTCATCTTTTATCAGAAGTTGCAAAAGATAACTCTAATGATTTAAAGAAAAGAACATCAACTAGGAATTGAGTCTCTGAATCGACTCTAGTGGAAAAAAATTAAGCTAGATAAGAACTCAGATGGAATTTTTTGTGGGGTAAGAATAAAAATAAAACAAATTTTCAACATGCAGATTGGTAAGCTAACGTGGTTCTATTAATTTAACCATTAAAACCTAAAATTATGGAAATGGTATCCAAAAAGAAAGTTTTCAATAAAGGTAAAAGCAGTTTAAGAAGTTTAAGACTAGATCATTCATAGCGGAATAAGCAAAAAAAAAAATCTAAAATCTAGGAAAGAAATATAACAGTATATATAACCCTTGTTAGTGGCCCAGTTTTCTTGTTTTCCTTTTCCATCCCTTTTCTATGTATAAAAGAACATAAAGTAAAAATATAAATATTATGATGTAGATGCTGACCAATTTAATTTCTATCACTATTCACCGAAAGAAATTTTAGCAAATTATTTAGATCCCTACCAAATGTTTAAGACTATAAATGGTATTTAGTTTTAAAATGTTCAGGTCTATATTTTGCAAAATTAAAAATTATAATTATTTTGTAATCAGAAAATTGCAATTTTTTTTGTTTTGAAAAGAGAGATTTAATTAATTGTTTGTACTATGCTAAAATAAGAATACTTGTTTCATTGAATTATTAAAAATTACATGAACATTTGTCATTACATGAATCTAGATTTTTGCATTAAAATTTTCACTAATTTCTTTTTAAAATAAGGTGAGTATAATAATTTGGTTATATCATAGCTTTTATTTTTCCTTACTTGGACTAAATCTCAATCGCTTAGGTTGGTGTTTCAGATTATAAAGGAAAGTAGAATGTCACAAATTGTCCATAATTTTATCCTTAATTTTCATATTTCAAAAATCGGTTTTGCTAAGTGCTAGGGCAAGAGTAGATTTTAATGCAAAATTAACACTAATAGACTAAAGCATACCCAGGAAATAAAAAACAGCAAATTTCACACAGTTCTGCTACCTAAAACACAAGCATATTTTAATCAACCAATTACTAGTTATTGAGTACCAATAATTGCAAGGCTTTGTGGGATAAACAAATATAAGACATGTACTAAAGTCATTACAAATATTGAGTGGTACTCAATATGCCTTTTGAAAACTCCCTTCATGACAGACAAATGTGTCTTTAAGAACACTTGAAGATGGACAAGAACCACCATGGGGCATTGTATTTTGAAAAATTTTAAAATGTAATTTTTCTAAGAACAAAGGGATTGCATTGGGCTTACCAAATTTGTAAAGATAGTACTGTACTGCCCTCATTTTTATTTCATTGTAAAGTTGAAGTCTTCTTCCCATAATAGCTTATAGTGCACATTACAAAGTCTTCAGGGTGTTCAGAATTAAAGTGACAGAGTTTTTTAAAAGCACACTTGAGAATCGTTCATTTTTCCTTACCCTTAATATAGCATGCCTTTACTTCTCCGATAACTCTAGTCATCTTGACAAAAGTCTAGTCACCAAGACAATACAATGATTTTACAAAGAGAAAGAATGACAGTTTCCCTTCTACTTTTCAAAAATGTTTTATAATATGATTTGAGAATGGCTTTATTCAAAAGGCTGAAAGGAGAATCAATTCTTAAAAATGACACTCTCTATAATAGAGAACACCTACACTTCTGAACAACACATCTACTCCCACACATTCACAATGTGATTACCATCAGAATCTTTTCCAGAATAATTTCCTGACAGGGAAAATATGGCTATGTTTAGAAAAAACTGACAGTGTCAGTAAAACAAGCAATAAAATATAAAGGGTTGAAGATTTTGTTTTTAGTCTCACTTCTGCAAGTCTGATGAAAGTCCCTATTTTCTTCTTGCCTTCACTAATAAGATTGGTGTTCTATTAATAGTTCATTTATCCAACAAAGAGTTAGTGTGCCCCTACTATGCACCAAGTATGCACAGTTACTCGGGGCTAGTTACAGGAAGAGCCCAAAGAGAGAAAGTCCCTGACCCCGCAGATCTGGACAGTTCATCCCACAAATGAATATGCAATAACATATTATGAGTACAATGAAGGAACCATACTGAACGTCAAGAGAGAAAAACAGTAAAACCTGATGGAAATTCCTCCACGTAGGCTGGGACCTGAAAGGTAAAGAACTTGCCAGATAGAGTTAGAAGAGGGGCATTCCAGAAGACATGAATTATAGGAAGGTCTTGGGTTTTGCATTCCCAAATCTAAACAAAACAGCGGGCTCAGATGCAGAAAGGAGAACCAGGCGGCATCCGCTGAGGCTGGAGCGGTGGTCAGAGGGCAGACAACAAACAGGGCCTGTTGGTCATATGAGGGAATTCTGATTTTTCTCCTAAAAGGAGTGGGAAGTGACTAAAGGACCTGAAGCAGAGAAGTGACATGATGTCACTATGTTTTATACAGATGATTTTGTTGACTGCCTGAAGAATACATTGGGGAAGGTGTCCCCAGAGCCAAAACTCTCCAGCTGATTTTTAAGACTTTTCTTCAAATGGCCTCTGTCGTCTCCCATTACTTCCACGTGCACAGTGCCCTGCCCGGCTACAGGGCACACGTGGCCATTCTGAAACATACTTGCACACAGCGCTTGCCTATGCTTTTATCTCTGTTCACACCACCTCCTTTGCTGGTTAAAACTCTCAGCCTGCTGAAGTGTATCCACCTGACTCAAAGTCCAGTTCCTCCATGGAGATTTTTCCCTGTTCTTTAAGCCCTATGGCACTTGGTATAAAAGTTTGGAGCAGCAAAAATGTGGTCCTGAATAAGGAACTGACTTTGGCTTTAACTGCTAAGTTATTTGTCTCCTGAGATTATTGGACACACAGCTCCCCAGCCCTCAGATACACACACCCAAGACACGGACTGACAACTACAGATAAAGAATGCTTTTTCTTTTACATTAATAAAATGCAGAACTTGATGTAAAAGACAATTCTCAAATACATTTTTATGGTGATGAAGTCATATTTGCATCCATGCACACATACCAGCAAAAACTGCAGTTAGCTAATTTTTCTATTTCCATGCTTAACAATCTCCTTCTAATTATGGCAAAAAGGCATGGGTATGTCTGACGAAATAATTTAATTCAAGCGACTTTAAGAACGACATGGAGCGAAGTCTGAATTCAGAGAGTCAAATAATACTTATTTCTTGAAGTTATATTTTCCCCCAAAGCTGCCCTAGAAATGAGTCATTGTTTTATCTAGAAAGGATAACGAGACTGACTCAGACGCAAAGTTACATGACACTTTTATTTATTTTTTATGCTGTAACTACTTCCAAATGGAATTACGGCCTCCTATTTAAATGGGAACGTCTATAAATGACACCTGCAAACTGCTTAAAGTTTGGCTCCTCCCTCAAACGCTCCCATACAGAGAAGCAAACTGATTTAATGGTATCAAAACTTATTATTCTGCTTCAATCTGACTAAGACAGAGAGACCATAATCAGTCACGTATATAATTTGGGGCTCTAAAACATCATTCTGTCTGAAAAAATGTCCAATAAACATGTAAAACATGAGATTTGTTTAACTTAACTTTGACAGCATTTGTCTAGAACATTATCGCAAAAATAATTTCTCTACAGTCATTTCATAAGGAAAATAGTATCCATATTGGTTCAATTATATTTTGGCTAAATGAAACGTAGGCAATGAGCTCACATATTACTCAGATGTCCCTGAAGCCATCTCCTTATTACTCACCTTGATCTCTTTCATGCCATGTTCGACTTCCAGCAGCTGGTGAATTCGGAGAGGGATAAAAGTCTCCTGTAGGACTTGGTTCCATATTTTCATCTATGGATATGGTTTTGGGTCTTTTGCTGTTAAAATATGACAGTAGTCACATTAATCGGATTTCTAGGAAGATGTGGAGCATTTGAAAGTATATAATTTGAGAAGAGTTTTACTGTGGAAATTTCCATACACACAAGTAATAGTATTTCAGCACCATTCTGAAATAAAGGTGAGTATTCAAGACACCAACAGGAATAGCAAACATTTCCAGTTGTATATAACATTTATCATACTGTATGATACCCATACCTGCCTAACAAATAGGACGTTTGCTATATTTACCTTTGAGATGTATTTCCAAATTTCAGTAGCAAAAAGTGAATTCTTAATGTGATGTGTACTAATTTTGAAATTGTTGTTAAAATTATACCTGAGCTTTATAATTGTTACCAATAACATTCATTTGTATAGAACTTGATATTAACAATGTAGTTGTCAATTGTTAATTGTTAAATATTAAAAAGAAGGTAATGGAATAGAGTAGAGCTTTGGAGTGGGACCAGCCAAGTATCAAATCTTAACTAGGCTACTTCTTTTTTTTTAAATTTTATTGGGGAATAGCCATGGTCATTGGTTATTACACATTGTTTTCATGCTACAATGGCATAGTTGATTCTTTTAGGGAGAGCACAGCTCACAGTGGCCCATGCAGGGATCGAACTGGCAACCTTGCTGTTATCAGCACCACGCTCTAACCAACTGAGCTAACCAGTCACACTAGGCTACTTCTTAATAGTAAGGTTTTTAATCTTTCTAAACTCAGTTAAATCATCTATAAGATGGAAATAAAAAAACCTAGCTCAAAGGGGAGTGCTTGAGAGAATTAAAATAGTTATTAAAGGTAAAGTTCTCAGTTAAGTAGATAGTATTTACAAGATAATAAATAATAATTAGTATTAGTAACCCTATAATTAATAATATTTTTTAAAAATTTATAGTACTTTACCAATTATAAACTGTTTCATATATTCTTCTTTATCTTTTCCTAAAAATCACGTTATGGATCCTTTATTCTTAAGATCAACCGTGAAAAACAGGCCATTGCCAAATTCAAACCAAACAGTATACTTTTTAAATGATATATTTCAATAAAGAAAACATGGTTCATTTCAATTATTAAGAAAAGTGAATACTTAGAGCAGAGATTAAAAGGCTATTTTATGGCACATGCCACATAACTTGATATACTGCTTTCATATATTCCTCACCAATACCCTAGTAAACAGTTAATTATGACTGAAAATGGAAATGGATATTTTTCCCTAAATTAAAAATAAAATCTTATTCACATCTATAAAGATATCTTCTGAAATAACTTCATACAGTGATAATAAACATAATGTCATAGGATTTCAGAGTTGGAACTGGCCTCAGAAGTCACACACATAAACAAATCTTCCTTTTTTCTTACATGTGGGGAGACAAATTTGGAGAAATTCAGCGAATTGCAGAGGGCATGTTAACGGCAGCAATCCAACACACAGTAAGGCTGTGCTCTTCCTACTGCACTGTTTCCAAATCCCGGACGCATGTGCATGTCTGGGTATATTCATAGATATGCTTGCAATTAATATTTGACTCATAGCTCCCAGAGTATGAACATGATGTGGAAGGTGGCAATTTCTGTCCATGATAAACCATAGGAAAAGTAAATAATAGTTCTTTAATTTCTTCATATGGTATCTGAAGTTAGAAAGTATATTTTTTAAACCCTTCTTTAATTTAATCTAATTCTCCTGTGAGTCAGCAGTAAATACATATGGAAAATTTGAAATGAGGGAGAAAAGATTTTCATAAGGAAATAACAGAGAAATGTTTTTAAAGACTTTTTTATTCTAAAGAATATCTAATAACAAATGACCATGAAGAAAGATCTGTGTTGATAACATACTGATCTAACAGACAAAATGAGAAATTACTATTCATATTTTAAATATTGAAAAACTAAAGTATTTTTAAGATCTCACTATGTCACAAACAATTTTAGTGATAATAAACTCAATTATCTTGGTTTATTATTATTATGCAGTCTAACTATATGAAAATACAGTTTGATCATAAGTGATATAAAACTGAACTTAGTTAATAAATATATAAATGTACATAGCCCATAATTAATTGAAGTGTAATTAACTTTTATTATTAAGAGTAGCATAGAATAATTAACCAGGTCTTTTTTCTTATTTTTAAAAACTTAATATTATAAAATGTATGTTTTGCTCTAGAATTCATGTATGCTATTATATTTGATCGTGGGTATATTTGATCATGGGTATATTTAATACACTGGAAATTAAATGGATCTTCATATATTGAAGATCTTACTCAAGACACACAAACAAAAACAATAAAGCTATAATATTTATTCACCTTGCCTTCTCATTAACTCCATCCTATTCTATCGTTCTATAACAGTGAAACATATCATCACAAAATCCTATGCAAAATAACCTTCCAAGCTATTTATCCCTCATTTAAACTCTTTTTAAACTCCTGTGGGACTGAAAGTTACCATAAGAAGGTCAAGAAAAAAAAAAATAAGAATGTCCACAGAGAATTAAAAAGCAAAGGAACCTCACTGTAGCTCTTCCCCAACATAGGCTGGCTACACCAAATCTCAGAGCAGGTAATAATTTCATTGGTAGCTGAGTATTCACTACAGTATTCAAAAAACATTGACTAATTGAAGAACTTGGCAAAGTTAGGCCTACAATAAGGCCTTCTGCCTTTAAGCTTAAGTAAATGACACATTTTATTTTTCACGTTTCATTATCCCCAGCTTGGCTGTAACATTAGGGTAAACAGTTACCAGGATGGGTCAACCATAAACCAGAGACCTTTGCCATGGGACAGAAAGTTACAATAAGGCTGAAAGCTACATTCTTAAAGTTGTCAAAAGGATTAGTTCACTTATAGAATTACAATATTTCATACAAGGTAAAAGTCATATTAATATATTTTCATAGTTCCCTGGTCACCCCCAAAAGACTTTTTAAAATGCTCTGAATAACAATTACATTTAATTTTCAAATGTTGAAATAAATTATACCAGGAAAGACAAAATATCTGTGTAAAATCAGCAAAAACTCCTTAACTCTTTGCTGTATTTCCCCTATTCGTTACCTCCCTCCCTATCTACCTGCATATCTACCTACCTGCCTATTTGCATATAGACTAAGAACCAGAGTAGCTTCCCTCTCAGTTACCTGCTTGGTGGAGAAGACAGCGACCTCTGAAGATTGACCCCCGAGTTCATGTCATGATAGTATGGTTGGCTTGGAATTTCTCCAATTGGAAAGTTGACTCCAGTTCCCTGGGTTATGGGCGCTAAGGGATAAAACAAAAGAAAAGTGGGAAATGACATTTACACTTGTCGTCTTTATTCAAATGTTATAGTCTAATATTTTCCATGCTTCTGGACAAGGATGAGGAAAACTCTGTTTACTTTAAGACTCTAATATCAACCATATACTGGGGCAGGACTTGAAAACTTCCTCCTGATACCAAAGTTCACATGTGGAAACACGAGGGACTCAGACTGTAAGCATTGATTACTATGTCCCCTGTTCCAACTCTGTAACCTTCTTCTTTGTATCTCTGTAACAACTCTGTAACACTCACTCCTTTGTATCAGTTTATATCTGTCACCCCCACTAGTCCACAGATGCGTTGGAGGAAACAAACTATGCTCAGCACCAAGCAAGGTGTTTTGTAAACTAAGTTGACTCGCAAATCGAAATCATTGTTAAATAAATAAATATAGAACAGTTTCACAAATAAATACCAAATATTATTATCCTATAATAGTATTAACATTAATATAAGATGGATTAGAAATCATGGCATCTATGATTATTTGATATAAATAATTCTTGTATCAGGGCAGGTATAAAAGTCAAATTAACTAATATGAAAAAAGGCAAGTATTTCCCCCCTAAAATGCATATTCGGGCTTCATATATTAATAGTAAGTGTAGCTTTCCTCAATAATCATGTTTTGTTTTTTTAAAAGTTTTTATGCCACAACTTTACAATTCTAAATGATTTAATTTAAAATATACTCATGGAGTTCTGCTGATATATTGGGTTGTCGGGAAAGTCATGATGCCTTTTTGCAACGAAAAACATAGAAAAAATATGTCATGACTTTTCTGACAACCCAATATTATGAACTGAGATTTTTGTATATAAAGTATTGGTTTCTGTACATCTGTTTAATTTTTAAAATTTGCTTCTAGACATCTTGAACATACCTGTGAGGCAATGTGTTGTTAGGATGAGTAAGTTTTGGGAGCTGGGTTGCCTTTTAGTTAGAACTTACTCCACTACTTCTGAGCTATGTGCCTCAGTTTCCTAAACCATAAAATGAGAAAAATAATAACCTACCACATTGACTGTTTTGAGGATGACATGAGGTAAGGCGTGATAAAAGCCAGCATCATGTCTGTGCATAATAGGTGCTCAACAAATGTGCGCTCCCTTCCTTCTTTGCTTCCTCCCCCCAAATTTCTTTCCTGACAGGCTGGAGTGGTTATCGAAGGTGGATAACTACACTTGAAAATATACCAAAGGCAGATGAAGAGGGGAAATAAACCCACTTGCTGAAAGTTTGTTCATTTAATAAATTACTATTGATTGTGCCCATTACTGGGAGGTGCTGTAAGGGATACAAATAGTCTAAGACAGCCCTGGTCCTTAATAAAATGTATCGGGCAATAAAGTAGGTAAACAAAGCACTCATGCAAACATAAACACCAGCCTCATGCAGGTCGTAATGAAACTGCCCAAATAAATGACATGACCATGAATGCCATAGGATTTCAAGGAAGAAGAATCTAACACAAGCTTGAATGGTCCAAGACATCTGTGGGAAAGCCAAAACTGGCCCTGGACCTTGGCGAACGTGTAAGGTATTAAAGGGAGGTCATTCTAAACGAAGGTTACTGCAGGTGCAAAGCCATAGGAGAGATAACACACAAGGTGGAGAAAAGGCAGGTTGGTGTCAAAGGACAGGATTTAAGAATAGTTTCTATTTCTTCACCTGTTTTCATTGGGCCTTCAAAGGCCCTCATGAGAGGAAGTGTGTCCTGAGCTATGGCAACAAAACCCTAGAGCCCTTGAGACCCCCTCTAGGAAGAGTCCCCTTAATCTCGCTGCCTCTCCTGACTGCCTGAAGTTGAATATAAAATTCCAAAGGGACTGCAGATTTTTAAGGAATTTTTCTTACCCAGAATTTTTTTTAATAAACATTTGAAATGTGTTCACTATCAGCTGAATTATATCAGGCCAAGATTAATTCAAAATGTTTTAAGAAAGTATGATTATAAGGCACATGCTTTATTGCAGAGAAGTATCAAGGAGTATGCAATGAACATCTCTCTTTTCCTATTAAAAATTAAATAAATCAATATATACAAGATCAGTCTCGGCTGCAAAATTCTTGAGCTCCTGTTATATAATATACTTCAGTGGCATTTTACACAAAGTATTTGCATTCAATGTGTAACTCTGCCTAATGGCTTAAATCCTTCGGAAAGCTAAAATGTAGCTGCTTGTTGTGGCTTGAGGTACACCAGAGGGTAAAAAAAAAATGCAAGGTAAAAAATCCCACAGTAACCACATGCTTTAAAGTTTATTATTAGAACCATGTTCTATGTGACACTGGGTATGTGTTAGAAGGAGGCATTTAAGGGGCTCAAGAAAAGTAAGCAATCTGTCCAGTTCCTGTAACAATAATGGATACAATTCAAATAACTGCGTTACTAACAGGAAGCTTATAGGTTATATCTTATACAAACTATTTGCAATTTATCGAGCTCATGCAATATTTAGGCAAAGATTTGTAGTCTCTAATACATATGGTTTGATAGGCAACACAGACTGCATGACTATAAACATAGTAGGCATAATTTATAGTAAAATGATAATACAATTTTTCAGAATTTTTTAAAAATTCTGTTCCAGAAGGATTATTCCAGAGGATCAAGTCAGCCATAAAAATAATTTGTGTACAGATTTATACATGAGCATTGTAAAAATTTAGTGTGCATTCTGACACTAAATGGGCGACTACAGAGAGAAAAGTAGATTAGTAATAAACATGGCCAAATTCTAAAACAGCAAATCCATAAAATTTGTTTAATGACAAAGTATATTGAGAACAGCAAGTCCCAGGCAGATATTCCTGTTTAAAAGCCTCTGGGGTGGGGGGGGGGAGCCTCTGAGAGAGAATTTACATCAGATGCAAAGATCAGCTGTAGCACCTCTCCCAGAAAGGGGCAAGAGGCCCGGAAGCCGCAAATCACGTCTAAGAGGCTGCCAATATCCTCTTAGAAACCCAGCTCCAAAGAATCTCAGATTCTAAGGGTTAGAGGCCAACCCTTAATCTCTCTTATTGTTCTCCTTACTCCACATGCTGGTCCTAAATCAACTTTTAAGATGGAGATAATATCATTCAACAGAAAGATCACTATCCTAAAACTGAATAGCTTCATTAGCTAAAGTCAACATACACATTAGTGGGTCATATGATAATAAAACCCTGGAGGACAGGAGCCATTAACATACCGTAAACCCTCAAGAAGGCAGAATTTGTGAAATACAGCATGAGTTGTGCTGAAGTTTATGTTTACTTAGCAAACCCTTATTTCATAAACAATAAAGTTCAATTGTGCAAATAAGATTATAATGTGGATATATTAAAAACACTTAGGAGAAGAACTTCTCAAGCATTTCAGAGACACCTATTTACATGAGTAGAAAATAAATGTTTGCTGAATAAATTACTTAATGACTAAATACAGATAATGTACTAATTACAAATCAGTATGGTTGTTGTAACAGATAATATAAAAACCTCTAAGAGATGGCAATATGAATTAAGAAGAATGAAGTATGCTAAATTTACATTTTTGAACTGTTATAGAAAAGTGTTTTTAACCTATTTTTTAATATTTCAAATTCAAAGTTTTCCAAATATCACTCTGAATGTTTCAATGTTCTAATGTGGCTCTCCTACAGCAGCTAGCATAATGTTACCTATAATGAGGAATTAATAATGTTTTCTGACAGATGACTTTACTGTGCTTCTCATTAGAAGGATGAAAATATCGTGGAACTCAGGAAAGTACAAATTGAAACAAATAATTTCATGTCATGTAACTGTAGCAGCATAGCTTCTCTGCTGAAGAACAGTATGGGGAACACACACACACACACACACACACACACACACACACCTTCAAATACCCGCCTCCTTACATGATGCCAGAAAGTGGTAGTAAGTCAGGCATGTTCCCTTCCAAATTAAACATAAATATAAAACTCTTTCTAAAAATGTCAAAAGCCTTCACACACCACATACTGATCAGGGAAGACACACAGGCTCATCTCCTTGTCAATGGAATCCTCTTGCCCAGCAAATATGAACCCTGGAGCTACTGGGATATAGGATGTGAGGTGCTGGTCTCCTACACTGCCCGCAAGTAAACAGACCTGTGACAGAAGTCTTTGGGGCATCCATTTATCCACTGCAGAAGCATATCACACAGGACGTTACTTAAGGTCTGAAATGTTCATGTATATAACTCCCTGAGTATATGCTATTTGCACTGGCCACATTAGAAATCTGAACCCTTTGAGAACCCATGGTTCAAAAGACAGAGTCAACTACTAGCTTCGAGATTCCTTCACTAAACACAAGTCTGAAGTACTACCTATCCTTTCCCTCAGTGACTCACTCTCGGCTTATTCTTTTGGATCAGCGTAGTTCTTGTTCACGACCTCTGAGTTTGACCCAAAAGAAAAACACAACTTAAACAAGGACCAGAGTGCCACTACATCATCTGAATAACATCAGTCCCAACTGGAAGGCTCCTATCAAAATGTCAAGTGAAAACACACCCATCAAAGCTACATAAAGAAGCTCAATCAGAGAAGAGAGCAAGAAGAAATGAGTCACCTCCTTTAATGTAATCAGTGCGCTAAGAGCTGCGTCTTAGATATATATTTGCACACACTAGTAGTAAGTGAAAGAGTTGATTAAGAAAACTTCCCCTTGCTTAGTGAACTGGCCAGGTGAACTTACCCTAGAAAAATCTCATCCGGCCTGACAAGAATGGTGTCTCAGGTGAGCTGGTCAGTGGAAACAATTGGACATTGTTTGGGATAACAATGCTTTCTATCTATATCCAACTGCAATCTGCAAAGTTAATTTCTGCATCCCTCTACACTCTGCATATTAGCGCGTATATCCTGTACATCTCCAAGCTCCCACCAAAATGTTAGTAAAATGAAAAAGCACTTATCTACAGGAAACTTATGTGGATTATCATAACAATACTGAGTACATTTAATTAATCACACTTCCTTTGATATAAATGGCCATCTATGGTCACAGAGAGAACAGTGAATTAAATGAATACCAATACCATGGCAATCAGAACAACCCAATTATTTTTGTGCAACAAAATTTTTGATGATTTCAATGCAAATATTGTAGAAATTCATATAATATATAGTCACTTATGATTTCATCAAAAGGTCAGAGATTTTAAAACTCTAATTCTCGTAATACATAGTTCCTCTTCATACTGTACTTAAGGTTCAAAATATAAATATTTTAAATCTTACTGTAAAATGAAATAATAAGAAAACAATTTACTTACTTCTGGATACCCTCACGAGCTCTGATACATTGAAGACTCCAGATTTTACAAAACTATCCTCAAGGTATCCTGAAAACAAACATCAAGGGGGAAAAGATCAACATAAGCAGGGAGCAAATAAATGATTAAACACTAGCATTTGTACAAGTGGCTTTAAACCAAAGGTTAGAACCAAAAAAAAAAAAAAAGAAAGAAAGAAAGAAAAAAAAAGTAGGTTTACAAAAAAACAAGTAAAACTCTTGTGAATGCAAACTGGGTCTGTTTAAACAAAAGTAAAAGGTTTACATGCTAAATAATCTCCCATGACAATTTTTTCTTAACTTTTTAAACATATAGGGCAATTGATATAGTTTCATTTGTCCACCCCCCACACAGAGAATGAAGGTTCAGGGGGCATTCAGCTTGTTAACACCTGGTAGACCAAAGTCCATCCACTAAAAAAAAAAAAGAGAGAGAGAGAGAGAAAGAAAAAGGAAAACCACAACCACAATTAGCACCTTGTTGGAATTACTTCAAAGATCTCTTGAAACCACTGTTCTTTCACAAATCCCTGATTAAAGAAAAGTGAGCTGCTGTTACCAGCACTCCCACCTTTGTTCCAGGGTCATGAACCACGCATAACTTGTACATACACCAAATACTTTGCATCGACCTATTTCCATGCACCTTTACTATACCTCCCACGGTTTCACTGCTTTCTCATCCTTGCTACTACTCTCTTGGACTCCCTTCATTTCAAGACCTGGACACTTTTCCTAGCAAAAAAGTGGTCAATCTAGGCCTCCCAGAATGCCACATGACCCTTCCGTGACTTCCAGGTACAGGGTTCCCAGTGGCTGTGGCCGACAGTGCAGGTGCCTGAGGAAGTTCAGACATGTTTGGTAGCTGGTCTAGCCACGTCCAGGATGAGAGCTGAGGACTCCCACAAACATCAGTTATGTCCCCAGCTTCTCATCTATGTGAAGGCAGTATAATGAATGTAAAGGAGGGAGGAATATGGTTACTCTCTGCTGTCCCAGGGAGAGAATAAGAAGAGTTTGAAAATCCTCACAATTAAAATACTTCCAGGAAAAAAAAACTCTAGATACCAAGAACAGGCAATTAATCAGATTTCACATAAAGTTTCAGGGCTGACCAAGGGAGGAGATTCAGTGCAGGGACATGCGGGCTGGGTGTTGTAGCAGCATGGAGTACTAAAGAGCAAGGGCTGGGATTGGACTCCCAACCACCATTTACTAGCGTGGGATTCTGGCCATGCGATTAGACTCTCTGTGCCTCGGTTTCCTCCTTTACAAATTAAAGATAATAAAATTACCTACCTCATAGAATTGCTATAAATAATTGGTGAGACAAAAATATAAAACCCATAGTAGGCACTGATTAAATGTTAGCAATACATTAGGATTGGCCAGTGGCGTCAACAATCACCCCTACACTGAATTATGCAAACTGGATTACTCACCGTCTCAAATTATTTGTAAATCTGCATTTAGAAATTCTACCAAAAGTTACCACACCACTTTTAACCACACATAGCATAAAAAGACAGAAAACCATTTAATTATTATACAGGCTCCCCTGATGTGAACTGCGGAGTCATGCATGTCTCGACAGTGTTTCATACCCACCCATCTATGTTCTTTAGAAACAGAACGAAAGACAGAGTGAGAGGGAATTATGAGATCCCAGCTGGTGATGAAACCTAGGTCTCATATTAAGTCATTACTCTGAAAAAAACATATAATTTTAAGAGGCTAATAACAAAATGTCCCCATTCGATGCACTTCTACTTGAAGAAACTCCTACTTGTTGAGCAATTTACCAGGTTGAATTCATTTCAGTGATTATTGAGACACTTCTAGGTTAGCCAACACTGTATAAGGTGCTAAAAGCCATGAAGACAAAAAAAAAAAAAAAAAAACAATGACCCCCTTTGTGTGGTTAGAGATAAAGACATTTCTAATTTTCTGAACCACTGTAGGCTGTCATTGAATACAAAGCTTAGTGTTGCTTTTGTGGTTGTTTTAAAGTTATAAGTGATACTTTATTTTATATATGGTCAACATAAAATTTTATGTATGGTAAATATATTAAACATGACCTTATTTATATATTAAATTAGACCTCATTTATCATGAGTAAAGCTCATGGACTTGACCAATCAGACAGGATTCCTTGTCCTCACGCACTGTTCTCCGTAAATGCCTGCCCTCATGTCTTCCTCAGGCAGCTCCCTTCTGACCGGAAGGCCCTCTTTCTGCATCCTCTCCTCTCATCCTTCAGTGTCTAGTCAACACCAAGCACTCCATAATTTGCCCTCCCCGCCCAACCCTTATACCAGCTAGAACCAATCTCTTTCTTCTGTATTCACACAGCACCTAGCTTGTACTTACTGGATATCATTTTACACATTTCATTTTTCCCAAGATAATTATTTTCAAGTCTTATGTTTCTGACAGGATTTTCAGCTCCTTTATTTGAGGGAGCAACTGAGATTTGTTCATGTCTAGATCTCCCTTAACAACTAACTCGGGATCTCTATATACAGTAACTACTAAATAAACTACTAGTATTCAGCTCCTCTACATACAGTACTTCTGTACTTACAGGTCAAAATATTTTATTTTATTTTTTTTAAGCTGAGCCATCCTGCCACCTGTTGGCAGCTCAGCAGCTGCTCAGCTTGGGCCAAGAATCGAACCGCTATTGCTCAGAGCTCGCACTCTTGCGCGAGCTCTTAACCAACTGAGCCACTCGGCCGGCCCTCAGGTAAAAAATTTTAAATTCAGCTTTTTGAAACAGGATCACAAAAGAATGTATTGGTAATTTCGTAGCAGTGGTGACATAGCTGGCTTAAGAGTGAAGGATAACTATCAATATATTGAGCCTTATTGTTCCCTGGAACTCATTTGCTGAGGGTTTTATTTAGGCTTTTGGGTAAAATGGGAAAAAGTAATAATTACAGTCAGATTTTATAATATCTCTGACTTTGTTGTATGCTAATGTATAACTTTAGACACTTAATACAAAATAAACTCCAAGAAATTAAGTGTTTAAAGAGTAAGAGCTCAAAAATATTTGTAAAATTAATGAATGAGTGAATAAACAGGGTACATTTCAGAATATTTATACAAATTGTATCATGTGTAATACACAATAACATTTCAATATGTAGATATCATGTGAAGTTCATTCCTGATTACTCCTATGGTTAGCCAGGGCTCCATTTGCGTCTCAGTCATACCCACTGTGATGGAATGGGGTGTGGACCTGTTAGAAGCAGAATCAGAAGGGAGGAGCTACCTCCAGATAATCCCACCAATGGGGAGACAGTGAGGCAGCCACACATAGACAAATGCAATGACTATCTCATAGGAAAGGGAAGGCCACTCGGAATGTAGCAGGGAATTTCTCCACTCCCTATCCCCAACTCCCTAAGTTCTAAGGAATTTGAATCTACAAGGAAAACTGAGTTAGTGTACTAAAACTATGAAAGGCGTTGGAAATATGTCAGAACTGCTTTGGCACCCACTAGACAAAATGCAACACCACAGGTTCCATTCCTGCATGGAACACAGTGAGACTCCCAAGGATGAGTGGCAATGCCCACCGACAATGACCTTGTGGGAATGGGGGTGGGTGGGAATCAGGCAACTGGGTAGCCTGGGAGAACCACCTCAGGCAGATGGCTGCCACCTTTCACACATGTGTGAACGTAGCATGGTCTTTACAATGGACAGGTATTACCCAAGATGGGGCAGAGTCAAGACGAGAAACAGGGGATGACACAGTACTTAGATAGCTAATAGTGCTTGCTCACAAGACACAAAAACAATACTTGAGACAAAATAAGTGACAAAAATTGTGCAGGGGGTCAGCAGACCTGCAACAGTATAGGGGGTGACACTCAGCAAAGCACAGGGTTGCTGTTTGTTTGTTTTTATTAGTTTCAGGTGTACAAAACAATGCAATAATTATCTTTTTCACCCCTCACAAAGTGACAACCTCTCTCCCCCATCCACTATCTCCCAACCCCCGATATCATACATATCTATTCAATTCCATTGACTCCATTCCCATACAATACTCTACATCCCATGACTATATATGTATTAAATTATAGTTGACATATAATATTATTCAATGGCAGCTTCAGATGTACAGTGCAGTGGTCAGGCCTCCACACCGTCTATGAAGTGGTCTCCTTAACAAGACACAAGTCCATCTAGCCCCCTAAAAAATATTTACAACATTATTGATTATATTCCCCAGACTGTCTTTTCTATTCCTGAGGCCATATTGTAGTTACCAATTTGTATTGTCTCATCCCTTCCCCTTCTCCTTCATCCCCACCCCTTCCCAACTAACAACCCTCAGTTCTTCCTCTGTGTCTCTGAGACTATTTCTGTTTACGTTATTCATTTATTCAGTTCTTTAGATTCCACATATAAGTGAGATCATATGGTATTTGTCTTTCTCTGACTGACTTATTTCACTTAGCATAATGTTCTCTAGGTCCATCCATATCATTGCAAATGCTACAATTTCCTTCTTTATAGCTGAGTAATACTCCATTGTGTAAATGTACCACAGTTCCTTAATCCAGTCATCTATCGATGGGCATTTCGATTGTTTCCAAGTCTTGGCTATTGTAATCTCTTTTTCTTTTTTTTTTTTTGCAGTCTACGCCATCGCCGGCAACTCACGGCAGCCCAGCTCCAGGCTGAGCTGTTGTTCAGCATCTTAGCTGTGGAGGGCAGTGTCACTGGCCCTCATATGTGGGATCCGAACCCGGGCCCTCTGGCATCCCAAGCCAGCTCTTAACCATCGCGCCACTCGACTGGCCCGGGGTGCATATATTTTTTTGTATTAGTGTCTTGGGCTTTTCTGGATAAATACCTAAGAGTGGAATTGCTGGTTCATAAGGTAGTTCCATTTCCAGTTTTTTGAGATACCTCCATACTGATTTCCATAGTGGCTGCACCAATCTGCAGTCCCACCAACAGTGCACCAGGGTTCCCTTTTCCCCACAACCTCGCCAGCACTTGTTGTTTGTTTACTTATTGATG